CCTTTGCAGTGTTTTCAGCGTGTCCTTTACAACAGCTGTCATATTTGCAGTGATGTATCCAGTGCTTGTTTTTCCATTTCTTAGCAATGCCACCATTGTATCCCCTGAGACCTGGTACCATGCCTGGCATATTGTGGGTGTGCAATAAACATTTGTGGAAGAAGGCGATAGAGGGAGGAAGGACAGGAAGAACAAAAAGGCTTTCTAGTTTGAGTGTTGAAAAATAGTGACCCCATATGTACTTTTGAATAAAAAGAAGCTGTGTCACTGAGGGCTGCACGGGTCTTAGATTTAAAACACCAGGGTTGCAATCCCAGCTCTGACCAAGTAACTCCCATGCATAGACTTTTACTTTGAGCCTCAGTTTCTACATCTTGTAAAATGGTTTTCTTTGGAGACCATGAAAGTTAAATGAAATCACATACATGAATGAAGCCAGCAAAGTGCCTGCTACTCAATAATCTTTGGTTATGTTGTTGAATAAGAGGTATGCGGAAGGGACTGACATATTTCACATCATGTAGAGGCACGTGTAGTTATCACTGATACAGAACATACTGCAGGAGACTAGTAACTGTTTTGAGTGATTAGGCCAAATGGCTGTATGTCTAAACATTAAAATATGATTTATGCAAGTATCACTAGGAACATCTATTTTACATCTCAATGCCATCTTTACTGAGATGTGGATCTGCTTATATTTATAATGCAAATGCATTGTGCTATTCCTGGTCACAGTAGTCCAAATGTCTGTTCTTTTTCCTTCCCACCATCCCTGCCTCCCTCCCGAGCAGCAGCGTGTGCATTCCTTCCCCACTCTCTCTCTCCACCACCCTTCATCTGCCTGTCACTTTTCAAAGACAAGCTCCTCTGAATGAAATCTCTGCTTTCTTTGTTTTCCTGGTTTCCATTTTGTATCCTAAAATATTCACTTCAAGTTCCGCTTGACAGACGTCCCTAATCTAATCTCCACGTCTGCTTTCTAATTTTCACAGTCAGGATAAAACAAATAGGTTGGAGTTAATTGCCGGAGCAGCGGGCCGGAGCTCTGAGCTGTGATTTATGAGCTGAGAGCAGGCGCTCTGCAACACATTTTTCTTAATTTATTTTTAATGAGTCTCTCAATTAATTTTCTTGGAAACATCTTAATGATGTTGGAGGCGGGTGTTAATGAGGTCTGCACCAGCTCCTAATTTTGCATATTTTAAAGTGCCTAATGTCATCTTGCACCCTTTCTTTCCACTTGAAGAAGAGTTGAGGGAGGGGAGAGATGATTGTTGCACTGAGAATTTTCACTCTTCACGCTTCAGTCTTTGCTTAACCTTTCAGACTTCTGGGTTTATAGTGTGTCTCAGAACAGTCGTGTGCTTCCTGCTCCCCTCCCTGACCTGCTCTGGGCTCCCTGAGTCTGAGGAGCCACTAAAGAAAAGGGAGAAAAGACACAGTTCCCAGGAAATTGCAGGTTCTGGGGAACCACCAGCAGCCCTTAGTGATGGCGTCTGGAGGGTACTTTTGCTAGTTGATCTAACTTTTCCTAAAGCAGGCAGTGAATGGGGGAAATAGTAGTGGAAGAAACAACTCAAGGAGTGTCTTATTAGCATCTGGCCATTTGTTCAGAGACCCTGGTCCCCCAAATGCCTCTGCAGAGCTCAAGGCACCAGATTCACCTCTGCATCCTGCAAGGCCCAGAGCAAAGTGCCTGAATACGGTCTCTGGGCCCTCTCTGATCCCTTTCAGTTCCAAAGGCAGCCTCCATTAAGTCCTCTTTAATTTTCATTCTGTATTTGCTAGTTAGGACTTATTTTTCTGATTAAATAGCCATTAAATGCTTATGGTAGAAAATTTGGGAAATGCAAAAGAATGGATCAAATAAGAAAAACCAAGTTCCATTGACTAAAAACAGCCACTATTAAAATTGTGAGGTTTCCTTCTAGACATTGTGCTTTTTCTTTTCATGGGCTTTTGATTTTATTTTATGCAATTGTGATGATACTGAATATCATAATTTTCCCTTAACATTATAACATAAGTAACAAACTCCTTTCATAGTTTTTAATGGCTGTTTAATATTCCATCTAGCAGATTTGCCAAACCATTCCACTGTAACTGGGCATCTAAGCTAATTCTCAAAGTGTTATCACAAATACTATTGTGATGAACATCTTTGTACAGAAAACTTTTTAAAATTAGGGATTATTTCCTTTGGAATCACCTGAGGAATTACTGATTTGAAGAGTATAATCCTTTTTAAGACTCTTGATGTATATTTCCAAATTATTTTCCAAAGAGTTATGCCAGTTTATTTCCAATAGTAACATGAGTGTGTCTATTTCTTCAATCTTGCCATGGCACAGAGTATTACAATTGTAAAAAGTTTAACTAATCTGCCAGATTTAAATGCATTTCTTTAATTTCTCCACCAAGTCCCCTCTTGGAGTAATGTTTCAGTTAAACTGAAGGCTGCTTTTACTGAGGAACTTCCTGTGCCATGAACCCCAACGTGGCCAAGACCCAGGTTCTTCTGATGGTATGTAGTAAAGACTCAACAAGTGTGTGTTAAATGGACTTATCCACGAAATGAAAAGTTGAGGATGTATCTCTGAGTGCCCTGTATCTACCTGAATCTGCCCAATGGCCTCTCCAGCTAAGCATTTCAAAAACTGAGTGCACATCTCCTCACTCTCCTTTCCCATCTGAAGTAAAGTTGGCCCCACTGAGCAGCTCCCATAGGCTCCAGACGTGGGGGTCTTCTGCAGTGCAGCCCTGCCCTCACAGCCCCCAACATCCACACATTCAGTCAGCCAGCAAGTCCTGTGCACATACCTCCCTACCTGACTGCCTCCCCCCTTCCATTTCCACAGTCCTGTTTCAGACCCCTGTGTCTCACCTAGACTAATGCAAAAACCTCCCAACTGTCTTCTGCCCTTTCCTCTGTGTTTTAGCCTCTAAAGTGCCAGAGTGCTGCATTTTTTAACACAAGCAAAAACCCCACAGTGATTCCCTCCTGGTATGCAGAACATAGTCCAAAATTATCAGTATGTCACTAGGGTCTTTCACACAATTTGACCTCCTAGAATATTACTCATTTCTCATATATGCCCTGCATTTTGTTCAGGCCATTTGCTAAGCCTGAGATGCCCCTTTTCCACTCCCCATCTAGCAATTCCATGCCACCCACTCTGTGAAGGTTTAGTCACCACCTTGGCTTCCACCTGTGCATCCCTTGCACATGGTAGGTGCCTAGTGAATGTCTGGTGAAGGAATGTAGAGATAAGGCACCTATAGAAAGGTATTTCCTTCAAAGCTGTTACCCACTGTACTTTCTGGACTGTTTCATACTCTAGGTCGGGTGTTCATATTTGAAGCTTTAAAGAACCCTTCGATGTTAATATTTTAAACTTTTAAGAATACTCCAACCTTGGGGGGAAAAAAACAGTTTCTTAAGGCATTTCTGCTTTCTGGTAGACTCCATTGATTTATTGCTGGACAATTCTTAATTTCCATTAAAGTATCTTTTGAGTTCTTTTCCCACTGATTCCTTGTGTTTCATGTAAGTATTGTCAGACTATTCCCTAAGACAAGACCACAGATTCTAGCTTTAGGGGACAGTTGGTTCAGATAAGATTCTTTACCCAGATGCAGACCTTAATATCTAGTGATCTTACAGTTAAAACAGACTCTTTCAAACATCTTAAAGCTGAAGGATTTTTTTTTAAGCCTTCTGACCAATAGCAATAATTTACCTACAACTGTGATTCTTTGACGCTGTTTGTCAAATAAATTAAAGTCATCAGAGTCATGATTTTTGAGATACTTTTAATTCCAGGTTTACAAAGGGAAAGAGCAGAGATGACCAGTGGATGAAAGCCAACATGAACAAACAAGGATAATTACAATAGTTTTAAATTTAATGTTGAATATGGCTGGCAGTGATTATGTTATAAAACATTACTATTTCTAATATTGACCACTATATTTAAGTTATGGTTAATATTATAATTAATGAATCCTTCATTTTATTTTTAATGTTTAAAATTTTCTCACAAAATGTGTTAGTCATGATAGGTTTTGCTATAGCAAACTACCTCAGATTTCAGAGGCTTGACACAACAAACGTTTCTATTTTGCTCACACAAAGTTTAAGGTAGATATTTTTAGTAAGATGGCATTTCTGGGCATCTCCCTCGTGACTCAGGGATCCAGGCTCTGCTGTCCCCAGGGCATTCTTGGAGTCCTTCACTGGGTCCTCTGCTTTGGGCTGGCCAGTGAGTGAGGAGAGAGGATGTGAAGGTCTGATATTGTAGAGGTCACGTGTGTAAGTGGCATATCTCACCTCAGTGCTGTGCTGGAGCCAACTCACTACAGCTCATAAGAGCCACCCATTACATTTTCAGGCATTTTGTAAGCTGGTTGTTAAACACAGACATTATTAAAAATTAAACTATAAAAATATACAATTAAATTTTATAAACAGATTAGAAAGGTAATAATTAATCAGACTTCCTCTTTTACTACCTTTCCCTGTTATCTATGCCTGAGATTGTTTATATCTCATATCAGTAAGTGAGAAATGTTGTAGAATGGCAGCTACTGTGCTGCTCTTCCTGACTTGTTCAACCTGTTGGTTGTTTGAAATATGACGATGGTGGGGGTATTTACACTATGGAAATTGACAAACACTATGAATCAGGGCTTGATTTATTATTTTGTTCATTGCCTAGAGACTTCTAAAAGTTCTAGAGAATGTACTAAAAGTCTAGATTAATTAAAAGCATGTTGTATCTGTAGCCATTACATTATGAATAGCACAAAATATCGAGGAAATATTCTTCTAGTATTTGATAGCCATTAACTGATTCAGCGGAGAAGTTGCCAACATTACTAGTGAACAAATAAATTCTGACATACATCTTCATTATTTCACTTACTCAATAATGTAAAAGAAAATATCAACCAATATTCAGGTTGGAACTATACTCATTCATCAATTGTAACCACAGGTTGGCTACAATACAAGAGTTCAGGAAAAATCAACAAGAGCATTCTGAGAGAATCAATTGGCTACATGGAAATTACAATAAAGAATGGTGCATATTTTTAAATATAATAGGTACGTTGTTAAATGTAAGTAATGTGCTTCACATCTTTTATATCAGCAAATTTATCATAAACTCAAGTCTATGTGCATATGTTGCTTTATGGAGAGCCTATTGTTAAACATTTACCAGCACACCACAGCCTCTACCTACGCTTTATTAGCCAGAACTCAATCACATGATTTCGCCTAGATGCAAGGATTGCAGAGTATTTAGTGTAGCTATGTGTCCACGAAGGAGAGAACTAGATGTTCATGAGCATAGCAGTCTCTCCCACAGTCTATCCTTCTGGTCACCGGACATCAGTTTCTTTATCTCCCCATGTGTAGAACACACTCACCTCTCCATAAAGGGGACATCCCAAAGTCCCATCCAGCAACAGCATTCTGGCTCAGAGTCCAGGATAAGGCACAGGTTTCTCCATCAAGTCAGATGTAACTCTTCTTAACGTGGCAACCGATGAAATAAAAGGTTATCTTCTCTCCTTTCCACCCCCACCCGATATACTATAGAAAAGCAGGGGCAAGAATTGAAACTAAAAATTCCTAGTCAAAAAAGGAATGAAAAGGAGGTACACGACAGTCACTCACTCTTAGCAAATGCTGGAACTCCACAAGGCTGGCATTGTGAAGGCCTCCTACCCTGACAAGGACCCAATTCTGCTGTAGAGGAAGAAATCCCTTAGTCTACAGATCACACCTGAGTTGGGTGTTGGGAAGTTCACCCTCCTTGGGGATCTGCTCATGTTGGGGAGCCTGATGGTGCTTTATGTCTCATGCAGTTAAAGGCTCCTTCAATCCAGACCCATGGTTTCTTTAGCAGTTCAGTTCTCTCAAAAACTAGTATAGGCTTCTGGTTTATTTGTTTCCCATTTGGTTCCATGAGCCATTAATTTCCTAGATATAATTTTCAACCCTGCCCTCATTCCTCTGCTTCATTACCCTCAAGCCAGTCTCTGTCAATTTAAAGGCACTAGCTTGAGGCCATCTGGAACCATCCATGGGGAAGTCCTACCTTCAGTGCTGTCTTTGCCACACTAGGCTGTACTGTTCACCTGAGAGGTTTTCCCAGGCCTCTGTCATGTATCCTCCACTGTTTGGAATCTGGAAGCAGTGAACTTTTTCAACCCTTTGACCATGCAAATGTCTGGACTCTTTTTATTCCTGTTTATTTCTGTTTACAGACCTGCCAATTCTCTCCTGAGTTCATCTCCTTCGTATAATAATGGCTCAGCAGAAGTAACCAATGAAAATGAAAACACATTACAAATAGTCTGTTTTCTAGACCCTTCCTCTAGAGCTGCCTTGCTCCACTTCCTTCTAGCATCTGACATTAAGGAGTCTGGTCTCTCATTCCTCTGTATGTGACCTGTTTTTACATCCCCTCTGGAAGGAGTTCAGGATATTCTCTTTACCCCAACTGTTCTGAAATTCCACAATGACATTCTTTGGTAAAGGCCTCATCTTTGTCTCCTGTTCTGGATACTCCATGCACCTTTTCAGTCTGAGACCCATGTCTTCAAGTTTAGGAAATTGTCTGTATAATTCCTCTGATGATTTCCTATTTTCACTTTTATCTCTTCTCTGTCTAGAATTCCTGTTAGTTGGATGTGGGACTTCTAAATTAGGAGTCTGCAAATGTTTTTTGTAAAGGATCAGAGCGTAAACATTTTAGGCTTTCGGGCTATATATGGCACATATTCTTTTTTTATGTACAACCCTTTATGAGTGCAAAAAGCATTCTTAGCTTAAAGGACATACAAAAAACTGACCATGGGCTATATTTGGTCCATAGGCCATTAATTGCCAACCTCGTCTTAGGTATACATATGCTATGTCTCTTATCTATTATCTCATATTTCTATTACTTCTTGCTGTAATTTCTGGGAGATTTTCTTGACGTTACATTCCAACTCTTTGACCACATTTTTTATTTCAGAAGTTCTATTTTTAAATTCTAAGAACCCTTTCTTATTCTCCAAATGCTCTCTTATATAACATCTTCTCAAATCTCTCTAAAGATATAACTAGGGGTTGTTTCTTATTTTCCATTATTTTCCTGTTCCCTGCATTATTTCTATCTCCTCCATGTTCATTCTTTCTGTTTGTCTATTTTTGGTTTCTTCCTTTCAGTTTTGGGGTTTTTCTCAAAAACCCTTGGTTTTTTAATGTGAGATGCTCCTATTTAAATGCAAGATGCTAAGCACGGGGGACTTCATTTGGAGGCAGGAACAGGGCTTTGCTTTAGGGTTACCCGGTAGAGAATGTTAGGGTGGGGATGTCTAGTCCCTAGGAACTTCTGGTTTACCCAAAGAACACACTTCTGATCTCCTGCCTGGAGGGCAGATGTGTCGCTACTGCTGTTCTGTTCATTGAGACTAGGAGGTAGGAGGAAGATCAGCTGTTCTGGTCACTAATTTTATCCCGTGCCTATACCTAAATCCCAAGCTTTTTATCCACACCACCCTCTAAATTAACTTTAGGCTATGGCTTCCTCCACATGCTAAGTGAGTCATCTCATTCAGTCATCTGCTTTTTAACTTACAAAATTGTTAAACTTTCTCATCTGTTCGGGCACCTCTTTCATTCTCTTTCGGGAGTGGGTTTGTATCCATTTTAAAACTTCTGTACAATCATTTTAATAAGGTCTCAGATGTAAACAGAGATAAACACATGTAGGCAATCCACCATATTTAATCAGGAGTCGTAGGAGTCTTGTTTTAGGATTTTAAGATCACCTTGGATGAATGGAATGCTATTTACTGAGATCTGGAAGGCTGAGCACTCTTTAGAGTGAGCGATCTGAGTGAGGAGATTCACTAGGTAGAAGTCGTTTATCACTGCCAGGCAAAACCTTCACCACTGAGTGATACAATACTGAACATGTTTTGTTTACCACTAAGACTGTCACAAGCAGGAAAAGCTGAGTGTGACCTAACTCTTCTCCTTTATTCTTGAACCTTTAGTCCACCCCTGCTGCATAAGTTGATGTTCACATGGACTTTGGATACCGCCTTTAATATGAGAGGAAGTGGATGTTTCTTTGCTGAGTTTGTTTTACAGTGAGGTTTACTTTGAGTATGGCTACCATTGTCATAAAGCACATTTTTAGGAAGATTGGATGGAGTATTTCAACAGCTCATGGTACCCTGATACAAAAGTTTTTGTGAGAAACAAAATATTTAACACTTCAGCCTTTAAAAGGAAGAAAATTCTGACATGCTACACCATGGATGAACCTTGAAGACATTATGCTAAGTGAAATAAGCCAGTAACGAAAAGATAAATACTGTGTGATTTCACTTAGATGATGTATTTAGAGTAGTCAAAAATCACAGAGACAGAAAGTAGAGTCGTGGCTGCCAGGGGCTGGAGGGAGGGGGAACGAGGAGTTGCTGTATAAGGGTGTAGAGTTTCAGTTTTACAAGATGCAAAGAGCGCTGGAGATGGATGGTGGTGATGGCAGCACAACATCATGAATTCATTTAATGCCACTGAGCTGTACACTTCAAAATAGTTAAGATGGTATATTTCATGTTATGTGTTTTACTACAAGAAAAAAATGGAAAAATATTTAACACTGAGTTTTATATCATATCATTATTAAATTTGTTCAATAAACACTGATTGGGTAGCCACTCTACCAGGAATATGGTTAAGCATTGAGGAGTTGACAGTGAACGAAACAGACATGATTTCTTCCCTCTTGGAGCTTACATTCTAGCTAAGAAAAATAGATAATAAACAAATAAATATTTGAAATGAAGCAGGGTAAAGGAAGATGAGTGACAAGTGTGCTATTTTTTAGGGTAATCAGGGAAGTCCTGTCTAATTATGTGGCACTTGAGCAGAGACCTGAGTGATTTTCATTTCTTATACCATCTCCAAGGAGAATTTATCATTGTGGTTTAATGAAACACCGAGCACACACACACTAAAGAACTATACTTGGAGAAAGTTTTTAAATCTCAGTTACTCCTTGTTCTCATGGTTGATGCTGCCGCTATTAAAGTATTCATCTATGCATTCGCTTCTGCTTTTAGCCCACGGGATTTCATTGTTTCTCTTCACATTAACAATTGATATTTCCTGATATAGACTGAACTTTTCATCCAAAGTAATCAATGTGCTTGAGTTTCTTATCTCTCACCTGTGAAAATTAGGCATTATTTTCATTTTATGTACAAGGAAACTGAGGCACAGACACCTAAAATCACACAAGAAGTTTCTGGTGAAACGACACACAGACTTAAACCCTCCAGCTTTGAGTCTAGTTTGTTTCATAAGACCTAAGTCACCATGTTGCTGTGGGGATTGAATAGACAACTTCTCTGAAAGCACCTAGCACACCCTTAAGTGCATTGCAGAAATTTACTTTTCCTTCAATATCCTTTAACTAATAACTGGCCCCTAAGGTGATAAAACCACTCCTTTCACCATTCCTGGAGAAGGATTTACGTAGCAAAAGATCCACTTGGCAGGCATTTTTCTTTCTTCTTCAATTGTTTCTAGCCTCTTCCAGCATATGGTAGTGGGTATCTTGGTAATTTGGGAGCACTGGGAGGAGTTGACTACTGGATCATTTTAGTGACAGTGGTCACAAGATTAATTTAATGTATCCCTTGGCCTGTGAACTCCTGGAAAGCATTGCTCCTGCTGCAGTAGAAAACACACTTCACCTCCTCAACACTTTGTCTTACTTTGAGTCAACCATTGGGAGACTTAGAAGCCATGGGAGTGAAATTGCCCCCTGGTTTCCTCACAGCCTGTCAGTCTTTGTTAAATCAGAAAAGGCTGAAAAATGGATTCATTTTTGTTCTTGTCCAAACGTGGCAGCTGTTTAATTTCAATTAGCAAAGCTTGAAAAAGAATATTATGCCAGGACTAATTATAGCAGAAAGGGTTCCTTGCTCCCCTCCACTCCCCTCCTAATTGAGGATCTGCAGT